TGCTCCTTCGCTGTTTTATCTGCTTGAGAATGTGTGACTGCAGTCAGCCTGCTGCCTTGTGCCCTCAGTGGGTCCTCCCGCTGCTACCCTATACCTGGGATCTGCCCATGGCTGCCTGTGTGCCTGGGTCGGGGGATCTTTCCTGCCTGACTCCGCTGTACTGCTGGCTCTGCCCCTCTTACCAGTCTGGCTGAATGGTTTATGTTTTTGGACTTCCATATAGTCCAATTTTTTGTGTTTTGGCTGTGTTTTTTGTTACTAAAACTTTGTTGTCTTTAAACTTGGTTGTGTGAGAAGGTATGGTATTTCCACCTATACCTCCTCCTTGGCAGAAGTCTCAGGATATTATACTTTTATTCTCCATTCTGTCACCTTAATCTACATTTTATTTCAGATTCAGCTTGAGTTAAATACATTCGATGCTCACAGTTACTGGTAGTTCTTTTACGGTACTTTCTACAGTCACCCCTTGGTTTGATGGAGTTTGTCCCTGAATAGTTGTCTCAAGAAGGGCTCATAAAAACATCATTTCCTGAGTTCCTTGAGGTTCAGAATATTTGTCTCAAGCTTTTATACCTTGAAACAAAGTTTGGCTGGTCGTAAAACCCTTTGTGTCTACTTTCTTCCCTGTAATGATGGTGAATTAATGATTTAATTCTTTGTTGGATAGCTCAACTTTTTACTAGGAGGCTTTTTTTTTTAAGTTTTGCCAAAGTTGGTCTCTTGAAAACTTCTAACAGAGCATCCTATATTCTCTTCTATATAAAACCCTCTAAATATTCCTCTTCTGCAGGATAAAAGAAACAAGTCATTGAAGAAAAGTTCTTAAGGTCAAAATAGCTTCAAAGTACCTTTTAGTAGACTTAATAATTTTTTTATTCCGTTAGTTCATGTCATTGCATCTTTCCTGCCCTCCTTGTGCCTTCCTCACAGTACTTGTTTAAAGCAAGTCAGAACTGTGTCAGAGCTGGGAGGGCCCACTGTCATCATCCGGTGCAAAGGCCCTTTTTAGATTGAGGAAACTGATGCCCGGGGAGTGGTAAAGAGATCTTCCCAAGGCCATGCCAGTAACAGGAAGTTGAGTCTGACCTTGAACCCCAGTGAGTCCCAGGCGAGAATTCTTCCTACTTCAATGAGTCCTTCAAAAATATAATGATCTTTTGCATGTGTGTGTGGTGAAAACCTTTAAAATCTACTCTCTTAATTATGTGAGGTGATGAATGTGCTAACTGGTCTTTCTGTGGTAACAATTTTGTAATATATACACATATCAAATCATCACCTTGTATACCTTAAACATACCTAAAGTTATGTCCATTATATTGCACTAAAGCTGGGAAAATACAGTAATCAAAAGTGCTTCATTGCTCTGGAAAGAACTCAGTGTATGCCCTGTTACTTAGCAGAATTTACCTACTGTCTGCTTGATAGGTATTATTTCGTGTGGTTTTTTTTCAAATATTTAGGGAATGACACATGCAGGAAAGCACTCTCAGGGAACTTTCAGTGGTTTTTTTGTTCATTTACATAAATTGTGACTTTCATTTTCTGCTTCTTCAAACTGGGAAACTTCATATAAATACAGAGTTAGTTTTTCTACCCCAAACTCCCTAAACCGTCATTTTGAAATCAAATTACACAGCTTATGCTTAAAACATAAGGGCCAGATTCTATCTTCAAATATACCACCCACTCTCTAACAGCAGAATTTGGCCCTAAAAACCCATTAACAAATATTGTCATTAAACTAAACAGCTAATTACTTTGGATTCAGACAGAATGAACAGAAATCATAGGCCGTCCGCAGCTGGTAGTGATAATGGCGAGACTAACCGTATGTTGCACTGGAGATTTAAAGAACAGACATATTAATACAAATGTAACCAAACATACAAAATTGGCCTCCAAATGGAGATAACTGTTATATTTAGAAAAGTCTTGAAAGCACATTGGTATTATCTAATACAAGAAAGGAAGACTATTTCTAATCAGTGCTTAATATAGAGTGAAACTTAAGAAATTCATTCTGTTGCAATATTCCACAAATGAATTACATCTAAAAATTATTTTGATTTCATAGGAAGCACTACTCTCATGGTTACATCAGTGTAATACTGTAAGATGAAAGGGCTTGCTTTAAGGCTATTTTAAATAGCCCGTAGCAGAGCTATCTGATAGTTCTATAAAAGTGAATTAACCAGATAACTGAATATTTTCCAAGCCCTTAGAAATAGGTTAAAATTATATTAATAATACATATTTTAAAAAAGGTTTTATAGACCCTTAACAATAACAAAAATCAACCATAATTTCATCAATTAAGCATAATTATTAGTAATATTTTAGTATCTACTACTTTAGTTTCTCTCCCTATGCATCATCTGTAACTTTTTAAATAAAAAAGGGGCCATATTCATAATATGGTTTTACAAGTTGTTTTCACTCGGAGCATAGTGAACATTTCCCCACATTAGTAATTACACATTTACTGCATACATTTTAATGACTTCCCAACTTCTGAAATTGAGAATAATAAACACATTTTAATCTTTTAGGATATCTCACAAGTACTATAATACTGTTTTACAATAACACTACATTCCCCAGAGATTCTTACACATTTAAGTCTCCTTTCTTCTTTACTGAATGGTCCCAGATGGGTCTACTCTTCGTAAACTATAACTTACTTTTAGCTCTAATTCCCCTCAATATCCGATGTCCATACAAAGCTGACCCAGCCTGAAATACACCTAAACTTCTTGTTTTCATTTCTTGACTAATGACATGGAAGATTATTTACAGATGACTAAAATAATAATTTAAAATCCAATTACATTTATAAGGACCGAAGGGTTTTTTTCTTCATTTCTTCAACTTCCATCTTGGAAGCAAATTTCTTACTATCTCCCTCTCCTGGGAAATCATTATTGAAAAACACAAAGTTTCTCCTTGTTAGCATGGCATGCCTGACCAGTTCGATGTTTGCTGCTCTCCATGTCAAGCTTTCACATGGAGAGTTTGGAAGAAACATGAGAGCACCAGCCTAGAAGATCTCAGGGGTCCATTTCTGCTCTAAAACTTTATGCTTCTATGCTGCTATAAAGTTTTTGTAATTTATTCTTTTGTTGTATATTTTACTCCCTGAGTGTGAAGGCTGCCTCACTCAGGTTCCCTGAAACCACACTGTGAGTTTTCTTTAGGGAGCTGCAATTTGAGATAAATACACCAATGATCATGAACGTGACTCACTTGAGGAACTAATTCTAGTCTTTCCACCTGCTCCTCTGCAAAGTGAGAAAAATGAAAAAAGAAAAGCAAAAAAGACAGAGCTGAGCAGGAGTTTCTATGTTATGCTTTTCTGAAATTGAGATAATACAGATCTGTACTAACTTCTATCTAATTTGGAGACTTCATTCACTCAAAAGCTTGTGTCCTACACACTTGAGGATTTTACAATCTTGTGTACTATATATTTTAGGGTCTTATCATCTGATATGGCAATATTACTATTGAGAACAATTCTGACACCAAATGCATGTGAAAATTATTATTACAGTTAACTTAATTACACAAATCTCAATTTTGATTACCTGAGGAAGTGCTGCCTCATTATATATGTATATGATTATATTCATGTCTTTGTGTAATACCAGTAGCTAATATGTATACCTAATTGGCACTGTAAGAAAACACTTCTTTTTGATTAAAGGTTTATTTTTACCTTTGGATATTTTATGGACAACACATTCTATAAAATATGAACAAGTACACACAAAGACTGATAGGAAAGAAGAAATGTCCATCAGCTTGAAATACAATCTGAGGAGTTTGATTAAAACCCTTACTTTTTACTGTAAAAACCTTACATATTGTACTTGTAAGGAATCATCACAATTTAAGATTTGAATATGTCTTTACTAATTGCTTCTTTTACTGGAATTATAGAAGCAAACATTTGATAAAGTTAAAACTGCAAATAATAAAAACGAAGTTGCTAAATGAGATATAGAAACCAGAAATACAAAAAAGTGATAATAAATGTACATGCAACCTGTTATAAATATATCATATGACTTATAAATTTTTATTTGTAAAGGAAAGAATAGCTAATGATGTATCAAGCTGATCTGTTCCTTTGGAATCTAAGGCTGAGTTTTAAAAATACAGAGAAAAAAAATCCCCTAAAAAATGTATAAATGCTTAGCCAACCTTGGTAAGAGCTCATTATTTTCATTGTGTAGTTATTTCTGGGAAATAGATCAATAACCATAACATCTGCATAAACTACAACACTACACAGAACAGACAGCCAGCTGAAGTGAGCAGTGATGGGTCTGTCACTCTGGAAGAGAAGTAGGGACACCTGAGAATGAGCTCGAGATACTGAATCTTTAAAAGGAATATTACAGACAATTAAGAATTCAATTAGAAGGGGTCAAAAAGAAAGCACTAATTGACTGCCTCTGTGCTAAAGTCATCCCTTTCTTATCTACTCTTATGACTGAAGGAAACAACATAAAACCCATTTAATATAAGTCATTATTTCTCAAAACCTGGAGACCCACCCATCAGGATCAGTTTGGGATGGGTAACTGCAAAAACAAAGATTGCTGGGCCACGTCCCAGACCTAGTGAATCTCTCTGTGAAATGTGTGCAGGACTCAGCATTTTAAGGGCCTCCTCTTACCCCCATATCACTCTTATACACATTTAAATTTTAGGACCAAAACACTATGTCATACTATTTTCCGTGAAACTGATGATCAGTTATCCAGCTCACCATTGTGCCTGGACTATATATATATACATATAAATGGCACACAACCACTTTTAAACTTTGTATTTTATTTCCCTTTGTGTTGTGAAACTGTACATAGCTAGCTATTATATTCTATCACTGCTTTGACTTTTATATTATTAAAATATATTAAATATTCACTTTTGATGTCACTAAGAGTCACACAAAAACGTGAGTTATGTTACTTCCAAACTTCACTTACCTCCAAATCCTTATGCTTATTCAGAAAGGTCAGAACATATACGAGGGAAATTTTCAAGAAGAATATGTGAAGTGGATTCTCTGTTTAATTTCCAAGTGTTCCAAGACTGGACAAGGAGACTCCTTAGGTGGACACCAAAAACACCGCTGAGCAGGGAAGACGACCCTGAAGTCTCTGGGTACTTGATTATATCTGAACAGAACAGGAAAACAAGTAATTGGTTACCTGAAATTCACAGAGAATTGTTATGGAGGAGGTTATTTTCAGCAAACGAGCAGTGTTACTAAATTTAAAGTTGGCCTGATTTGCTGCTCCCTGACTTAGCAGTTGTCATTTAAAATTTCATGTCGTCGTGCAGTCAGAATTGCATGATGCTGCTGCCTGCAGAGGCTTCTGGTTGGACTCATGCTGCTTTAATTGACTATTTTTTCCAAACATTGCATCAAGCGGTACAATTACTAATTTTATTTCTGATGTGCAGGTGCTACATTTTGGTGCTGAATTTCTTTCTAAGTCAAGGTTGATGAGGTCTCTTGGAAATATATCCTTACGTGAGACTCTATCACACCCTGTAAAAGATAAAATACAATACTTTTACTAAATCCCCATGGAGTCATTTGCTACTTTTGCTGTATTTTCTTTCACATGAGTAATACTTGCCAAGATAATCAGACATAAGTAAAAATATTATCCTTTCTAGGTAATATGCCTTCCCTACTCAGAGAAACCAAGGTTCTAACATCTTTACTGAAAAAGTTAACCAGACATTATTAATGACGAGTGGAAAAAGAATAAAACATCTATTTGTAAAATTTGTATTCAGTGATGTAAATATTTTCCTAAATGGTTGAGAAATCAACATATACAGGTAAACACACAGACATGAAAGGAGTATCATGCACATACATGCTCCGAGTATGAGGGAGGGCCCCCCCAATAACCTGGAATTTATGTATAAAAACTATATTTATTCCTACATGTTTAAAGTTCAGTCACTTTCAAAGCACTCTCTGCACTCTCCATTTGATACAATATACATATCAAGACGTTTTCCACTGCTGAAAACAGTTTTTGAACTTGCCAATTTTGATGCCTCTTAGTGCTTCTGCCATCTTTTGTTTCACCTCTTCCACATTGGAAAAATGTTTCCCTTTGAGGAATTCTTTTATCCAGGAAAACAAAAGTTGCTTATGCAAGACATAGAGTGAATAGGGAGGGTGGGGTGTGGGGGTCATGCTGTTTTTGGTAAAAAACTGCTCAACATTCAGCGTGATGTGAACAGGTGGGCTTGTAAATTACTCATGAAATGGGCAAACACATTGAAAGAGTCTTCAAAAAAATTCACTGAAGCCAAACTCCGCCATTCACAACAATGCCAGCTGATGAACTGATACAGACAGATTCCTAGAACACACACCTAGCAGGGGAAGTCTGTACGAAGAGGGGCCTGCCCTCCATTAGATAATTTCGGTGTTGGGGCATCCCCCTCCATACACAGTAAAACAGTAGGTTTTTATGGAAGACGACTCCTTGGCCACTTAAAAACCTTTCTTAACTTTCTTCTTGTTTGATGTGTCTCACAAATAGAAGGTAGGAAATTGAATGTTTACTCTCCCAGTGTTCCTTCTTGTAGTTTATGGGCCAGAATGAGGTCACATGACTCTGGATAAGAAATTCAAGTATTTTCTTTATTAATAAAGGGAGAAATTCCTGTTCCTCTTCTCCCTTCCACACAATTCCTTGCCCTGAATGAGGATGTGATACATGGAAGTAGAGCAGTCATCTTGTGAACATGATATAAGCATAAAGTTCAGAAAGACACCAAGGTATAGGCCCCTGTTATTGATGAACAGCTGAACCAACACGACTGCTTCTTCAGGAGTTGTTTAAAACATTGAGCTTTCTGCTGCTTGTTAACAGAATCATTGCAGGTTGATGAAGTGTTCAAAAACCATTTGTAAGTTTTGCTGCAATGGTTCTAGTGATATCTGTGTTTTCACATTGCAATGTAAATCTGCAAGTTCTCATTCTGGGGGCTCAAGGGCAGCCTTCATTGTGAAAGAGGTTGGAACTTGCCTTCTTTGGACTTCTAGGAAAGCTGTGCTTTTGGGAGAGAATGGGTCACAGGATGGCGGCAAATAATTAGAACAAAATGAAATGGAAAGGCAAGTTCAGAGCTAGGTTTAGAAGAAGAGGGTCCAGAATTAATGGTGAAAGAAAGGCTCTCATCTTTGCCTCCATGCCAAAACTATCACATTAGTCAAAATCTCAGTGGAAGAGTTTGAAGCTCCACTCCCACGTTCATTCTTATTTTCTAAGTCCTGTGGATTTTCTGCAAAATACCATTCAAGTCCATCATTTCATTACCATCTTCCTTTAATCAACATTCCTTATTTAATCATAGTCTGGGCTTTCACTATCTTCTAGACTATTGCTAGAGACTCTTCAACAAATTTTTCTTTTTCTTTTTTCTTAAGCATTACAGTATATATTATTGTTAATACTCAACTTCCTAAGATATTTCTTTGAATCCTTCTTCTGCTCAAAATAAAAGATCTCCCTTTGGTCCATTGGAATAAATCTAAGGTCCTTAACTCCCTATAATATAGGCATTTAAGACTCCCTATAATATAGATTCTTCCAGATTTCCCCTCTCCCTTCCGAACACTCTAGGTGGTTTGGTGGAAGGATTTATCTCCACACCAGAGGTGCACTGTGAAATATTTAGAGTAATCTGTGTATCTCAGTTTTTACCTAGAATGTTAGGGATGAGCACTAGATCAAAGATCTCCATTGTGGTTTTTTTGTTGACCTATTATGTAAACAAGGCAAAAAAAGCCCCTTTCTTTCTGAAAATGGCAATATGAACATGTAGCCTCAAGAACTGCTGGCAACCTGCCAAAATTTATATCAACATCAAAGAAATAGCTGAGAAATAGAGAAAGAGAAACTGGGTTCTGAGCATGTTGTTTCACCACTAGACAGAGCTTTTGCAGGTGGAATACCCTGAACTTTTCCATTGCGTGAATTTATACTTTTTTTTGGTTTAAGCCAGTTTGGGTTGGTAACTCTGTTACTTGCAACCAAAAATATATTTGTAATTTATTTACTTATATTTTAATTGTGCAACTGCCATTTCATTCACTTCTACTTCTCTTTGTTCTTACCTGTAGTCTACCTTTTTTCATGATCTGGCCCTCCTCTCCATGACATGTTTTCAGATGTTTCTAACTCACAGTGAGAGAAATGTAACCTATTTCGCATTGTACAAGAGAGCTCACCAAGGTCTATGATACTCTCATTTGATGATGACCCTTAAGTATTATCTTTAGGTTAACTTTTTCTTCTCTTATTTCAGACTGTTGTTTTTAACAAAATAGTTAATGTCTTAACTTGGATGTCTTGGAGTCTCCTCCAGCTGAATTTGTCTGTATTGGACACACAAAAACCTAGTTCTCAAACACAGCTCTCCACCAGCATTCCCTGTGTTTGTAAACAGCACAGCAACATCAGCCCTTGGTTGGATGAACCAATAAAGGTCTTCAACCTTTTAAAAAGGATTCAGGTTCTTATTTTTCCTCTCAACCTTAGTATCTGATCACGAGATCCTTTTGATTTTGTTTCCTAAATACTTTTCAAATCTGTCTACTTTGTTCCTTTTCTTTTTCTATCCTCCTTTTCTCTCTTCTCCTCCACACCGTCACCACTACCGTCACCACCACCTGCACCTTTAATACCTTGCCTGTTGCCTGGAATACTGCATGACTTATTCTTTTTTGCCTCCTCTCTCACATTTTGTTTTCATCCAATATATTCTCCTGATGGCATTTAAAGTGGTGTTTGAAAAATACACAACTGATCATGTCAGTCCCTTGTTTCAAAACCTTCAACATCTTCCCATTTGTCTTAGAATTAAGATCAAGGATTTATACCATTAAATCCCTACCTAGCTTTCCAACCTCACCTTTCTAGAATACAGTGACCACTTCTGTTCTTAAATATCCCCACTTTTTTAAATACCCGGAATTCAGCAGAGTGTTGAATTGACTGGGCTGCCGTGGCCAGATGATGTTTTCCAAGTTGGAGCATGATAGAATTATGACTGAAGGAATCTAGAGGGAAGAAAGGCCAGGAAATGGAAGAGCAGACAGTGCAGATTTTGTGCCTGAATAAAATTGTCGAGCAGGCTTAACCTCCATTTACTTAAAAACGAGTTGAAATTTGTCTAAGATGTATTTATATGAGAGGTAATTGAATTTGGGTTTCTATAGACCTGTTGTTCTGTTATAAATATCCCCTAGTTTTCCAGGGTCTTTAATTAGTTAGGAAATTTTTTAAATTATTAAAGATAAATAAAAGGAAAGGAGCAAAATGAAGAAAAAAGGAACCCTGCCCCAAGAATGCACTTCAAGAATGAGTATAAATTGGTGTTTTAAAAATCAGAGAGCAGGCTATTTTACAATTAGGGTTTTAAAAGATATTTTAGGCAACTAGTTATTTGTGAGTCAATATTCAGTCGCCTTCCAAGCAAAATAAGAAATCCCACCAGGGTATAGGCATTATTTCTCTTTTCCCCTGTTACTTAAACTCTAAGGGATAGGCAGAAGCGGAGCTGTTTATTTTGATCCAGATAAAAGTATAGGATGATGGTAGGACAGATTCTTATGCTCTACCTCTTTCTTCATGCTTCTTTTCTGTACAAGGGGAAAAGTGATGTTCAGGTATATGATATTTTACTTGCTATTTTTTGTCATTTTGTTTGTTAATTTTTGAATCTGCTGCAACATGTATTTGTCTTTTAAGAAAAAAACTGTGGCTTTTTAAAATTAAAATTAAAATTTATATTTTAAAGATTTTTATATATTTTTTAGACAGAGGGGAAGGGAGGGAGAAAGAGAGGGAGAGAAACATCAGTGTGTGGTTGCCTCTCATGTGCTCCACACCAGGCAACCTGGCTTGCAACCCAGGCATGTGCAGTGGGAATCAAATTGGTGACCCATTGGTTCACAGGCTGGTGCTCAATCCACTGAGCCATGTCAGCCAGGGCTGTGTTTGTCCTTTTGCATGAAAATGGACAAGTGCTATAATTATTAGAACAATTCTTTTGTACTTATTTAAAATTAATTATTTTATTAAGAGTATGAGCCTGCCAATGGATGGCATAGACATTCTAGAACACTAGCAGTGAAGAT